TGTGCGAGACTGTAGCCACAAGCTACACAGCATCAGGGGCCCTCACCTGGCTGGGCTGTTCTGCCTCAATGACAAGGACAGGTGAGGCAGCAGCCCATCTAGTCTGGCTAGAAGATCTGCCCGAAATTTGCCCCAAACACTTTCATTTGCCCCAAACACCAGCATAGTTAACCCCTGCCTGGATGCCTCATTCTTTCCATGACAAAAGCGTTTTATCAGTGAGCACTCTCCAGGATGAGTGCATGACCTCCCAGCATTGTAGGAGGCAGCACTTGGCCTGCAGGCCTCGACTGGTCTTCCCCAGGGAGTAGGTGTGAGCCAGGTGAGCCAAGGGCATTTCCCTGGCATTTAGGGAGATGTGGATTGAGTCCCTAGAGATTCAGACTGTCGCTTCTTGCTGTTCACGGTCATAGGTCATATATACAAGTCTATCTGATCCCTGAAGCTCATGCCCTTGGCCTTTGACCGCTTTCATGAGCTCAATCCATCTCAGTCCCCAAATCAGCTCAGTCAAGCCACCAGCTGCTTGTTCCAGGGCTTGGGAAGGAGACATCAAAAACACAGCACAGGCACCCAGGCCAAGGCTCCCAGTTTGCCATCAGCGTTTCAATTCAGACAATAAATAATTGTTCACAGACAGTTGAATAACTTTCCTTAAAAACAGGATAGAGCAGTCTTTCCGAGGCTACTTGGTTTGCACCCAAGCTGACCGTGGACTGAGCCAGGATCACATTTTGAGATTATGTTGGTATTTTTGAAGACTCTTTCTCTAACGCTGTCACAGATGCCAGCAGGGATCAAGAGGAGCGAACACCATTCCCTTCCTGGAAGGATGCTCACCTACAGGATGCTCCCATCACCCAGACTTGGGAACTAGATCTGTCTTAGTGGGTCTGCTAAATGTAGCATACCAGACCCTGCAAGGATCCTTTCAAGCTAAAGAGCAGGACGCTTGATCACCCTGGGATAATGGGCATACATCCACGAGGTATGACCGGGAACTCCCGGGATGGGGGGTGGGGGTGGGGGGGCGGCGCACGCATTGATGTACTTTGCATCCCAGACGCTGAACGGTGGAATGCCTTGTTAATAAGATTGGAACCATGGGTATGGGTCGGGAGGATGATTTACCTGATCAGGGGACTAACCCTCCCTAACGCCCTAAATAACAAATCATATTTTCAGTTGGACTCATGTTTTTCTCTTTGTCATCCTATCAATAAAAAGGCCAAGATCTTGCTCTTCGGGCAGCACCCTGCACTGTACAGCCTGCTTCACGACTCCCCTTCATCAGTGTGGTGTTGCTGATGCAAGAGCACTCCAGCCCATGGGTTGCTGGAATGGTGTCTCTCCAATAATCCTGACTTTGCAGAGCCACAAATGAGGTTCCTCAACCCCTGCCCCCAAAGACATGTCCATGCTTATGTTGCCTCCCTCTCCTTGAAATCCACAGTGGCACTTCTTTTGAAGTTTAAATAACTACAAGTGGGTTGCTGGCATCCAGTCCCTGCCTGAACGGTGGGCATGGCAGAGGCCCAGCCAGTTCCTGACAATAGTGTATCAGGAGGAGGCTGGCAGTTGAGTCTGCAGCTGAGTAACCTAGAACTCGCAAGCGAGAGCATGCTCTACTACCCACCCAAACCAGGACAGCAGACAAGCTAAATGAAAGCCCTCCCAGAAACTCCAGATGGAGGCTGCAAAGATGACAGCTTCTAACACATGCTTTTAATTAGCAGTGATACAGTGAAAGCTCTGGGAGTAAATCCTTTCCATTCCCACCACTGAGCTAAACTGAGATGCTTCCCGTCTAAGTCAGACCTCTCCAAGGTGGGTCTTCCTGGGCCAGGGCACATTCCAAAGCAAGGGCCTGTTCCGGAGCTGCACGCCTTCCAAGAGACACCGTGTTTGGAGAGCTGAACTCGGGTTGCCAATTCACAATTCAGAACCTATTCACAACACACCCCCTGGCCCCCCACCCCCGCAAGTGCATAACCTCACGGAGAAGCCGCCCCCGACCATCCACCAAGCCAACGTGAGAGGGACTCGGGCCCATCCCCAGAGCCTGCCCGTGGGCATCTGTCTGCTCGTGTGTCAGCGCACGGGCTGGTCTCTCTGTATGTCTGCAGCACGGGTGCATGCGCGCACACACACACTCACAAACACACACACACACCCATGCACCAAGCAATCCATCTGTCTCAGAAAGCCGGCTGTCAGAAATGAAAGTACAATCTCCTGGAACCGAGTCACAGCCTTCTAAAAATGTGCCGTTTTCCCAGACTGGGGAAACTTGCAGGGGTGGGGTATGTTTCACTGCGAGTCCCGTAGGTCCAGGCCTGTGTCTCACCGGCCAGCCCCAAGCTCGCAGGCTGGAATTCCAACCTGCAGCCAGCAGGCCTGCTCCCAGGGCTCCTACCCGCCCACTCCCCTTCCTCGCAGGAAAGGGAAGGGCCAGCCTTGGAGTCACCCCGGCATTTCAGGAGGGGGGCCTGCCTTTGAGCACACCCCACCCCCACCTCTGAGGCACCACATTTTCACATTCGGCTGTTTTTTCTTTCCCTTCTTCCCTTGCCAAGAGAATCAAGCCCTGGCTCCCGATCCCGACCTTCCTCCCACCCTAAACTGAGCCCCATTCATTAAGCCCGCACTCCGCCAGGGCAGGACAGGAAGGAAAACAGCACACAAGGCCTGTGAAAGAGACACTCAGAGAGGTTATTTCAAGGGGGAGGAGGGAGCAAATCCTCGCATCCACCACTCCCCACCTTGATGCCCTCCTTCCTGAAATAGGCGCCCACCCTCCGGCCTCTGCTAACCCCTTCCCCTCGGGGGGCCTGCCCCATTCGGCCACCACAGCCCCTGCTGGCCTCTTCCTCTGCAAGAGGGACACACCCAGCCCCCCCTCCACCCCCATGGAAAGACCAGCTTCTTGGAATGGAGGAGGTCTGGGCTTTCTCCGTTTGTAAAACCCTCTGCCCTGGCCCAGGGCCACTAAAATCATCTTTTGGGGGTGCATTCTTGCTAGAAAGGACATAACCCTGGGTTTTCTCCATGCCCATCACCTCCCCTCCAGACACCCCCAAACCATGGCACTAACCCAAGACACAGTTTCTCCGATTTCTCCCCACGGCACATTATTAATAAACTGCTCCAACTCCACACGGAAAGAAGAAAGAGCTCCAACTTTGAAGCCTTGGGAATTAGTAAATCAAGAGCTACAATTCAAAACAAATGCTCTTTCATGTGGAGGGCCCCCCTTTTCTTCTTTTTGCAGTTTTGTTAAACCACGGATCCCTCCAGAAACACACCACTCCTCCCTAGCAGCTCCTCATTAATCTCCATGGTGGCAGTTACCTTGGGGGGAGTGGTCAGGCTTTGCGGAAGACGGCGCCCACCCCTCTCAGCTCAGAAGGGGCTGCGAGGGTCAGGCCTCTGCTTAGCTTAGCGGGTGACACTGTGAGGAGGCGCCCGGCCTGGTGGCTCGGCTGGTGTCGTCATTTCCTCCAGCAGAGGAGACAGACAAGATGTTATCAATAAGACAAACCTCCCGAAGAGCCCCCTTTCAAAAGCTACCACTTCCCTTGCTTATTTCATGTGGTTCGGAGGGGCTGGGGCTCCTCCCTGCACATTCAGGATTTAAAAAATAAAACATCTAACTACATCCTGAGTATGTTATTTTGCCCAGACCCTTTCCTCTCCCTGGCCTTCTTTCTTTCAGGAACTCGCTCAGCCTTAGAAAGCAAAATGAAGCAGTTCACCCCACTGCTGCCCGCTCTCCCTCCCCCACCCCCCCAGGTCCACTCCCAGCCTGGAGCCCCTTCCCTCCAGCTCCATCCTCATTAGGAGCTTTGAGTAAACAATACCCTCTGTCTCAGATAACAGGCAGAGTATATACTGCACTGAAATAAAAACAAACAAGGGACTCCTTAAAGACATTCCCAGCAAGCTCGAGGAGAGCCGGGAAGGGGACTCTCCCAGATGACCCAGGTCTCAGCAATGCTTGATCAATTAGAGGTCACCCTCCCACCCCCCACACAATGGGGGTGCACCAAAGACAGTTCTACAGCTGCCATTTGAGCTGCCACAACCCTACACCAACATCCCAAAGGCAAGAGATGACAAATGCCTGGAACGCTGAGCGTATTTTGTTCAGGTCACTTTCCCTTTGCTTTGGCTACTTCTTAGAAAATTCGGCGACAGCACACTGGGGAGGGGGAAGCAGGTGGAAATCGGATGTCTTTAGAATAAAATGGCAACACCTCCCACTGCCATTGCTAGTATATTTCTCCAAGTTTAGGAAATGTATATTTCTAGTATATTTCTCCAAGTTTCCTCCGTCGTTCAGGAAATGCAGCTTGGGCATTGCCCCTCGTCCAGACCCAAAACCCTCAGCACTGGCATTCCAAGCCTTCATGACCTCAGCCCCAGGAAAACCCACCCTCCTGAGGAGCAGGGTTACTAGCACCTACTGTCTGCAGTGCCCCACCCTGGTCCTCTAGTACCCATCAGGCCCTCCAGAAGCTGCACTAAACCAGACTGGAATTAGGGATTGGAGAGGAGCATCATGAATATCTACTCTCAGCTCCCATCCTACACCTGGGATCTGTCTTCAGCAAGTTCCCAAAAGGTGAATCCATCTTCCTTCCAGGCACCTGGTGCACCAAGAGCAAGAGCCAAAGAGAGCTTAAGTCTATGACACCAAAGTCACCGAGTGGAAGCCCATGGAGTAGGAGTTACTTGACAGTCGCCACAAAACACAGCACAAGCCCATCCCAAGGGAGACCCCAGCTCTGCATCCATGTAGGGGGCCCAGCCTCCTGACGTGTAAGGGACTGCAGAGTAACAGGCAAAGGGCAGCAGTCACCACGATTTGTCCAATTTAACACACATGTAAGCGAGAATTAATTCCACACCAGCTGGGGTGGCAGCAGGCCATCCCCATCTCTCCAGTCTCCAGTCATTTCAAGAGATTCTGGAATCGCCAAGAAAAGAGGATGTCTTACCTGAAAGCCCCCCAGGGGCCAGATAATTCGTTCCCCCTGTTTCAGCGGAGGAAGGCACAGCATCTGGACAGTCTGCTGTGGAAAGGGGAGAGAAATAAATAAATACACAAATAAACAAAAACACCAAGATTAATTTTTAAGCACATTCTAAACAGCATTAAAGAGAAACCACACATTCCAAGCGGCTGACTCCCAGCCGCGATGCTGATTATTAATGGTCTGCTCAGGCTTCACTGCCCATCATAAGACAGACCACAGCACCTTGTCACCCGTCTGGGCTCCAGGCAGCCAGTTAATCATTAGCCAAGTCAGGCTCGATCACAGACTGGCTGGAATTTCTCTTTTATTGCAAGCCCTCCATTGAAGAAACGAGGTAGTTCCCAAGGTCAAAGGAGGTCTGGGTTCTGCTCTCTCAAGCCTGGCTGCTGCCTCCCCCCACCATCTTTCCCAGGGAAAAATCAAGGGCAAAGCCTCCTTGCTTGGCTTCTGGGGCCCCAAAGCCACCCCCACAGACTGGTGCCTGGCACTTATCTTTCAAAAAACATCCAAGATCTTTAGGATTTTCTCAAACCGGTGTGGCGTGGAAGGGTTTTTTGTTTTTTTTTTTTCCTTTCTAATTGCGGTGTAATGAGTAGAGCAAAGCACAAAAGATCTCAAGTACAACTGAATGAATTTTACTCATGTGTACACCTGTGTAAAGCCACAACCCGATCAAGTACATTCTCAGCAAGGATCCCAGCCGGAGGGGAAATGTTCTACCTCCTTCCAGGCCTAGTCCAAACTCCCCATCTCTGGAAACCTTCCCGGGCAACCCCAGACCTGCAAGGCTGCCTGCCCTCAGCTCCCATAAAAACTTCCTGGCACCCAGCACTTGGAGTTCCCTTCTGCCGTCCTTCCTGATCTTTCCCCTCAGATCCCGTCTGCCCTTAACTAGGCTCTCTAAGCTTCTCCAACTCCTCAGCCACCCTCAGGTGCTCGCAGCAGTGACCTAAATGTTAGCAAGTGTAATGACAATTCCAGCTGAGAAACAGAGTCCCTCCAAGCAATTAAAAGAAAAAATATGCCCATGAACTACAACTAAATAGCCCCTAAACAAAAATGCACAAGACCTGTAAATTGAGCGTGCGCCACAGCCAATGCCAAACCCACTGAAATCCAAAGGCTGGCTCAAGAACGAGGCTTTCCAGCTCTGCAGCCAACACACCAGGTTGGATGGTACAAATTCCAGTCCCCCCCCCAACCCCACCCCAGGCCAATAGCAGGATGGCCCTGGGGTGCACATTATCAGCTTCCTGCTGAAACTACTTGGCCTGGGGCGAATAGAAAGCCAAGAGAAAGGGTTGCCTGGAGGCAAATGGCACTGGCCAGCAGAGGCCTTCAGGAGTCCAGGGCCTGGCAAGGGTCGGGACTAGGGGGCTGAGTCTGGCCTACACATAGCCCCACATCACCCCTGTGTTTCTGCAACCTACCCATACAACTCCAAGGTTCTGTCTCTAATCCCTCTGCAGCATTCTCCCGACTCTCTTCTTCTGGAAAAACAACTTTTTAAGAATTCTCCTCAACAGGGGCGGGGGAGTCGAGGAGTGGCGGCAGCAGGCAAAGAGCAAAGACGGTATGTGCAATTTCATTTTATCAGGGTAAAGTATAACTCCTAACAGGAATATACAGTTTTACAGGATACACTTAATCAAATGGAAAACAATAGGGGGAGGCAGGAAATGGAGTTGCTTGCTAAATGCTGTATCTCCTGCACTTTCTAAAACTACTTTAGGGCTAGGCTTGGAAGACACCCCCACATTAAACATGATGACTTATCCACGGCCACTCCCAGCCCCCCTCCCCAGCTCTGGCTGGCTCAAACCCAGGGGCAAGGTGTGTTTCAAAGGGAAAGCCCGGCATCTCAGGGCAGAGCTGGGACCACATTCAGGGTGTCAGCCTGTCTCAGATCAAAGGCAAGCCAGCTCTGCACTGGCAACCACAAGCGTTTGTATGAAATGGTGCTCTGCCCTTCTGCAGCGCCTTTGATCTCCGGAGGGATTTACAAACATTAATTAGGCCTCCCTACCACTCCTGTGAAGTAGTAAAGTATACCTGTTCAACACGCACCCAGGTAAACTGAGGCGTCATTGACTAGCCCAAGGGGCCACCCAGTGAGCTGGGCTATACCCAAGAGCTGGGCCTATACCCAAGAGTTCGCCCTCCCCAGACAGGTCAGCAGTCCCAACTCTCTTCCCTGCAGGTAGGCAGGCCGAGACTGTCTTCAGCATCCAGACAGGCCTCAAGCTACTGCTGGGCTCGTAAAGGTCAAAAGAGCCACACCTCCATCCCTCGCCCACAAAAAAAGCTCTAAGTCAAAGTTTTAGTTCCTGCCTGGTGGCCCACTCCTCAGAACCCAGACTGGCACGCACACTCACCCACACAGGAGCTCTAGGCCACTCCTGGCTCTCATCCACCACTCAGTATTACTTTGCACCCAACGAATGCTGGGTTCTATGGAAGGAAAAAAGACTGTCCCCCCTCCTGGCAGGAGGGGTCCTTGACAACTCAAAGAATCACTGGAGTAGCCAAGGTGTGAACTATGGGAAGACAACAGGTGAGGGAGCTGGGGACCCCCCCTCTCTCACCTAGAGAATGGTTCCCGGAGAGCCAGGATATTCTTGCCAACTTAGATCTGAGTTTCCTAAGTATCCTCAGGGACAGGAGTCGCCCCACCAACACCACTAATACACCCCAGAGTGTGCCAGTTCAACCAGCATATCCCAAATGTTCAAAGCTCTGCCCCAATCCACGACGCAAATGAACCCTGGCTATGGAAGGACAATCCACTACATTGGAATCATCACATTTTTAGGCAGACACATCATCAGGTTTGCAGAGTGAATGAATGAACCAATAAATAAGCAAATGAATGAATCATCTAATCTAACTCTTTAATCATCTGGATTTCAAAAGAGGCCTGGAAAAGTTGAAAGTGGCATGAGTTAAGAGGTAAAAAGCAGGACTAGATCCCAGACTTCTCAACTAGGCTTTGGAAGGCTTAATTTGCCAATGGTCACTGGTCACCTGGGTCCTCAGCCTAAGCAGTGAGACTGCACCCCGCAATGTGCTCCCCAGCAAGTCATCCCTTAGTAGCCTTTCAGACCACTGGATACAGACAGCAGCCCCCCACTCCATAAACTGAGATCTAATTTCAAACAGCATGTTCTTACTCCGTTGTAAGATTGGGGTGGGGGTGAAGGAGGGTGTCTTCCTGACTTCTGATGTAGCCACAAGTCAGTCACCTTGTCCCAGGTTCGGACACACTCCTTTGCCAGATGACCCCACCAGCTTGGGATCACCCAGCACCCAGGAAGACAAAGGCCAAGCTCTCCCAGAGGCTTGGACCAGAACAAGGAACCCCGTTCCTTGAGTCCCTCCAAAGGTTACAGGCTGAAGTCCCCTTTCCACGGTCTCTTCCCCAAACTGGGGACTACACAGAAGGATTCCCTTCTTGTGCAACTGGTTGAGTTTAACAGTTGTCCATTTAAAAGCTGGCGCCTGGTTCTAACCTAGCAACTCAGACCAAAATGTCAACCTAGGGCTTAGAAACTTAATGTAAGCGGCTGATCTAAACTGCCTGGCCAAACGCTCTCCCAGATACAAGGTGAGGCTAAAAACCTGGGGCCACGCCTGTCTTTGTGTCTGACCCCGAGGCCTGGGGCCCTAGCTGCCTGCCCGGCCAGCCCCCTCCAGTCCCAGTCCTGGCTGCCCTCCAAGGGAGCTTGGGAGCTTCGCCTCTTACCACTCTCCTGTCCTTACACCAGGGCACCTTTTTTTCATTCCGTTTTTTGCTTTGTTTTAAACAAAACGTTTTGGGTGAGTAACCAGCTGTTTGAGTTTCCGAGTGGCAGGTTAATCACTTCCTATTGGCTGATCTGCAGAATTTTTCTCCCCCTTGAAAATGGCACATTCCTGTCTTTGTGGCTTCTCTGTTTACACACATTTTGCTACCTAATGTCAACACTTGCTAATGAATAAATATATCACTCCACTCACTGAAAATGAGGTCCTGGCCTGGCAGAATGACTGCTTAAATCCTGCGAACAGATTTATCCCGGCATCTCTGCAGCAACACGGCTCCTCTTTTCTATGCTTTTAGGAAGTTCCTGGGAACACTGATTGCCACTATCAGGACCAAAAGGACTGTTCTGTTTCTCTCTTCTAAAGAAAACCTCCAAAGTTGAAGACGATGGAAGGAAAAACACAAACAGGACAGTGATGGTCCCTGGGAAAACCAACCTCAGGAAAGAATTCCTGCAGTCTTGAAGCCAAAAACCCAGACAAGTTACATTCTTTCTCTAGAGAGCTTGGTAATTTTCAGTTAACGTTTGTTACAAATACACAGAGAGCTGGTTATCTCCTCATTAATGACCATTTATCTGGTGTTTTGTAAATCGAAAGCAAAATATCACATGCTTCGCAGGCCACTTATTAAGGCACCAGGCAAGCAGCAACGCCTTCCCGACTTGAGGGAGCGGTGCGGTCCCGGGAGGGCTGGCTGAGGAGCATGGGCTTCGGTTACACCGTTCATTAAAGTATTTAATTTATGACAACGCCCCAGCAAAACTTTTAATTAGTGGGGGGAAAGGCCCAACAGCCAAAAACTCAGGAGGTGGAAGGACTTGTAGAATTCCAAGAGCGAAATGGTGCCCAGCCCTTCACTTTTCCTTCTCCCAGAACCTTGGCAAAATGAAAATATCACAAGCCTGGCATTTTTCAACCACCAGGATCCAGGCCGGCGGCCTAAAGTTACAATTCCTATTTTCAGCACAGGGTTCTCCCGCTGTAAGAAGGGGCTTCAGAACAGAGACCAGGGTTACCCCAAATCCCAGTTCTGCTGACACTTCTCCCCCGACACTGTCAGCTCCATGGGGTGAGCTCCTGCACCGCCAGCCAGAAGCTGAGTGCAGACAACCACAACAGGGCTGGTGCCAGTCTCACATGGGCTTTTGCCCTGGCCCCGTGCCATCCCGTGACAAAGCAACAGTCAGGCAGAGCTATGCTAAAAACTTTTATGCCCCTACCAAGAATGCAGAGAACCAGGGATAGTGCTGACTTGCTGGTGACAGGAGGAATCCCAGGGGGTGGGGGCTGCCTTTACTTCTTCAATGTTCTAACCTCTTACTCCAAACCAATCTTCCCTCTGCAACCTTTTTTGACTTCTTCCCTTCCATCAAGTTACCCTTCATCCCCACTGATTCCTCTGGCACTCACAAAATCTCCTAATTCTCCCATCTACCTGTCTTGTTTGTCTCCCAAGACATTTCTTCCTGGCTCAAACTCCACGTGTTAAAGTTAAGCCCAGTCTGACCAGGTAGTGCAAACACATGAAAAAGGAATAAGTTAGACATACCTAGCAAATGCCCTCCCCCCACCCACACACACACATTTTAAGTTATACAAATATAGATCCAGTCACAACAACAAAACAGAAAAATGCACAAAATTCCAACAGAGCAACCAGGGAGCAAACCCAGGGCCTCCCCAAGCCACTGCCTAGACATCAAAATCTGGTGTCTCTAGACTCCATTTCTAACTTCAGACAGCCTGGGTATTTTTTAAACCATCTACTCACCAGTTGGTTTGAGAAAATCCATCGGGTATCTGGAGTAAGGAGGAGGGGGCGACTCTGGAATTAAAAAAGTAAGAGAAAATAAAGGCCGAGCCATGAGAAAGAGAGATAGAAACTTATGATAACAGAGGCATTCTTTTAGCCCAACTGTTTGTCTTAGCTGTGGGGGTTGGAGGCAGGGCCGCGAGGCGGTGATTGCCTTGATATTTAGCTGTCAGATAAACAAAAGAGGCCGCCTGGCGCCAGCCTCGGCGCTCCGCTCCTCCACGTCTGCGGCGGCGCTCCGCCGGCCCGGCTGGAAACCACCGGCTCGGCCGCGGCTCCACCAGGACCGCGCGTTTCCCAGCTCGCAGGCTGGGGGCGACAGAGCCCCCTCCACGTCCCAGAACTTCAGACCCGGCTCCCACCGGCCCCCCAGTATCCACCCCGCCCCACCCCACCCCCGGGGGCGCAATTCCACCCTGCCCCCGCCGCTCCGCCGGGCACCCGCGCCAGGAACACGAGGATCCACCTCTCCCCCCACCCCCCTGCCCCCCGGGACGAGCCCTAAAAGTGTGGGTGCTCTCGGGAGGCTCTGTTAACACCCGGGGTGCACACGCCCGGTCTCCCCACCCGCACATCGACGTGGAGAAGGGGAGCAGCGGAGAGGGCTGGAGGAATACAGCGGAGGCTGGGGGCGCAGACCTGAAGCCCAGGTCCCAGCGCGCAAAGGCGCAGACGTCAGGGAGACGCAGTGGGCGACTCTGCTGGCAAGGAGCACGGAGGAGACAACCCAACATCTCCTAACAGTTTGCTCTTTTCCACCCCGGGCTGGCGGAGTGGAGAGTAAATATCCAGTGGGGTCTCCCGCGCTCATCCCTCGGCCCCCGACCCTGGCCCAAAGCTGCCGGCCCGGGCAGCCCCTGGACCACTTAAGCCCGGCGCGACTCTCCTCGTTCACTGAAGGAGCAGAGACTCCCCAGCCTTGGCGACTCGCTTCTCCCAGCCTTCCTTGGCGGGCTTGGACCTGGTCCAACTCGGCCACACACACCTCCCTCAACGCCTTTCCGGGTGCGGGGGAGGCGTGACCCCCCACTTCTTTCTGCGTCCCCTGGCCGCTCCGGAAACGAGGGCGTCTGAATTTTAACCGCATGTCTGTAGAGTGTGCGCAAGAGTCGTGCCCAGGGCCCCCCTCGGGGCAGGAGGAGAAAAAACTGCGAGGGAAACCCCAGGGAATACCCTTCCAGTTCCCCGGGTCCCTTCTCTACTTTTGTCCCCCAAGTCTCCCCCCTCCCTCCGGGGAAGCAGCCGCGGGCCCCGCTCGCGGGATTTCCTTCCACGCGCGGCCGCAGGGCGAGGGGAAGGTGGGCGCGCAGCAACTTCTTACCTAGTTCGCAGAGTCGGCTAAGGTGATGGGGGTTGCAGCACACCAGCTCGGGGTTGATCTTCCCGTAAGATTCACAGCAACACAGCCTCTTGACTTCCGAGGAATGCCTGAGATCCGGCCACCTGAACACTTTGCACAGCAGAAGGGGGAGCGAGTAGGACGAGGTGGGCTGCGCGGGCTGCGCGCCGGCGGGCGCCCCCAGGCCCAGCCTGCAGTCCAGGCGGCCGGGCAGCAGGAGACACGCGGTGCGCGCGCCGCCGCGGGACTCCACGGCCTGGAGCAGCAGCTCCAGCTGCCGCTCCTTCAGTTTCTTGAGCACCGAGTGCGTGAGCGCCTTCAGATCCGCCTCGGCGCCCCCGGCCGCGCCGGCGCCCGCGGCTGGGGGGTGGGGATGGTGGTGACCTTTGGCACCTCGGACCGCCTTGCCCAGGCAGCAGCCAGCCCTGCCTGCGCCGTCGCCACCCGCCCCATGCGCCCAGCCGTCCGTGGCCCCTTCTCCGCGCAGCTCGCCTCCGCCTCCGACGCCCCCCGCGCCCTCCTCCTCGTCCTCGCCGCCGGGCGCACGGCTTCTCCAGAGACGCCGGACGAGCGCAGATCGTTTGGTCCTGAACATGCGGGGCGAGGAGGCGAGGAGAAAAGTCGTTTGCCGGCTAAGGAGCGAACATGACCTCCGCACACCATGAAGAAGTCGGGCGCCGAGTTGGGGCAACAGACGCAGGCGACAGCAGCAGCAGCAGGGGCCCGGACAAGAGCGGCGGCGGCCCGAGGGGCGCTCCGTGGCATGCGCCAGTCTCCCGGAGGCCGGGGCGCGCGCGGGGGCCCGGGGGCGCCCGCCGGGGCTCGGGGGCCTGCGCTCTGGCTGCCCCACCCCGCGCGGCCCGCGCCGTGCGCGGCTCTCCGGCCCCGGCGCACCCGAGAGGAACGCGGCCGCCGCTGCCCTGGGGGCGGTGAAGCCCGCCCTGGTCGGCGCCTCCCCAAAAAGAGGCCCCCCCGCAGCGTCGCCCGAGTGTCAGGCTCGCCAGCCTCGGCTTCCTACATGGAAGACCCGCGGGGGCAAAAAACGAAAGGCGTTTCTGGGCGACTGGCGGGAGGAGAAAAAAGCCTCTTTCCCCCTTGCTAAGCAACTTAATTTGGGGGTGGGGAGAAGCAGGCAATTAAAAAAAAAAAAAAAAAGCAGGCACGCGATTTATTTTTTTTCCTCTATATCCTTAGTAACCGGATCTCCTCGAATTCCGCGCACACGAAGACTCGGGGGAGGGGGCCGGGTGGACTTCACCCCGCAGGAGATGTCTGGCGAAATGAGGAGGCTCGCTCAAAACCTAAGAGCCAAATATGCAGAACCCAAAATGAAAACACCGCCTCCTCCCAGCGCGGAGGTCTGGGGGCGTCCAGATGGATCTGGGGTTTAAAAAAAGAAAATGTTTACAAAGTGGAGCAAGACGGTGGAGGGGTGGAAAAAGCGTATCCACGAGTTACGTCCCCCTTTTTTCCTTGCAGAGCCCCGCCGCGCTGCCTCTCCTCTCCTTGTGCCAAAAAAAAAATCGTGTATTTTTTTTAATCCACAGAAAGCTCCGGCCGGGCGGCTCCGGTCCTCCGCATCGGGGTGCTCGGGGAGAGTCTCTGGTCTTTCCTCTCGCGCTTCCGGGGGCCGCGTCCTCGGCGGGGACTTCCTCGGGGCCGGCGGGGGCGCCGGGGCCGGAGATGCTGCTGCGGCGGCAGCGCCCCGCGGGCTGACAGCGCGGGGGAGGGCGGCGCGGCGGCGGCGGGCCCCCGGCGGGTCGCGCGCTCTCGCCCCCCGGGGCGCAAGCTGCTCCTGGACGCGGGGGCCGCCGGCGCCCCCTCCCCGGCTCGCGCCCGGCCGCCGCGGCTCTCCGTGCGCGCTGCCCGCCCCGACCCGGCTGCGGCGGCGGGAGGCCCGGGTGTCCTCGAGGCGCCTCCTCCTCCGAGACTCCTCGTCGCGCCCGCGAGCCTCCCGATCCCCGTCCGCCCTCTCCCGGCGCTCGGGTCCTGCTGCGGCCGCCGCCGGGGCGCGCGGGCCGGACTCGGGGTCCCCGGGGCCGGACTCGCGGCGGCTCGGCGCCGGCGGGCGGGCTCTGCCTCGGCGGCTCTCTCCGGCGCGCGGCGAGCGGCCCGAGCGCGGCGCCCGGCTGGCTCGGCTGGCGCGGCTCGGGGACAGGCTCCTCCGTGCGCCGAGCGAGCTAGTGTGCCCGGGGCTCGCCGCCTCCCGCAAGGCCTCCCGCCCCCGCCCCCCGCCGCCCGCCCTCCCCAGTCCGCCCCCTTCCCTCCCCCGCCCCCAGCCGCCGCCGCCTCCCGCCCGCCTCCCGCCGCCCCCGCCCCCCGGGCCCTCCGCGCCGCGGCCTCCACTGCGCAGTGGCGCGCCCGGCTCCGGCCTCGTCACGTGGCCGTCTAGACACCGTGTCGCTTTAAAAAAAAAAAAAGCGATTGTGTTTCGCAAACAACAGATCGGGTTTCTAAAAGCTATTTCTTCCCCCCGCGCCCCCCCGCCACCGCCGCCCGCTCCGGGGCCGCCGCGAGGGGACCGGCGGGGGGCCCGGGAGACGGGGCGTGGGGGCGCCCCCGGGGTCGCCGGGACCCGGCCGCGCAGAGCAGAAGCGGCGAGACCCGGGGGCACCGGGCGGCTCGGCGGCGAGCGCCGCGGCGGGGCGAGCCGGCCGCTGGGGGCCGCGTTTGGCCCCCGCCGCCCCGGCCTCGCCGTGCCCGGCCCGCGCGCGCTCGCCCGGCGCTCCATTCATTCGTTTTGTCTCAGGGCCCTGGCGGCGAGTCCCCTCGGCGCGCCCGGGGAGGGGAGGAGGGCGCTGTCTCGGCCTGGAGACATGGACACGGGGCTGGAGCGCGGCCCTGGGAAGTGCGCGCTGGAGGGAACAGCCGGGCCGCGAGGGCGGGAGGCGGCGAGTGTGACCTCAGCGGCGGCCGCGCGCTCCCGCCCGCCCTCTCCCGCTCCGGGCTCGGGTTTCTAGGACTGCCTGGAGAAGTGTGTCTTGTGCGCAGCTCTGGAATGCATTTGGCCGGCTGACGAGCTGCGAGGGGCAGCATCCCGGAGGCAGGCGGGGTGGGGTGGGGGCGGGGGCGCGCCCGCCCGCCCGCCGCCGGCAGGTTTCCTCCAGAGCCCGGAAGACCTCGCCACCCCGCCTCCCGGCGCGGGAAGGTTACCTTCCGAGCAAACCTGCCTGGCGCATGCATATGCATGAGGGCCCTGTTTCTGCGCTCTGCTCGGCCTCGGAGCTGTCAAGGTGCTGTGGAGTCTGAGAGTTTATCCCCTGACCCCAAGGTGGGAAGGCGCACAAGCTCCACTGGCAGGTTACTGCTGGAAATTGGTAAGACATTGGCAGGGCAAAGCACCAGGACACGTTTGAGTTGGTGAAAGCTGATGGTACTGAGAAATGTGACGATTTCAGTAGGTAAGCATCGGCGTTGACAGGTCTCTAGTTGGCATGGTGATCTAACCTCACATCGTACTCGGGGAAATAATATTTTTTTTTAATCATTTAGATCTGTGAGATCATTTGGGGCCTCCCTGGTGGCGCAAGGGGTGGAGACGCAACCTATGAGGCTACCCGCGGCCACTGCAGCACGAGTTCGATCCCCGGCCAGGGAGCTGCCCACATGGCGCAGTGGACCTCTCCTGTCTCGCCCCGCTGCTCCCCGCAGCAGTGTATTTCGGTCGGTCTGCTTGTTCTGTTCCCCACTCTGTCTCTGGTGAATCCTCTCAACCCCCGCACCTCTGGCCTGTACCCCAGTTCTTGTATGCATAAATAAATACATCTTTAAAAAAATAGATTTGTGAGATCAGGATGACAATGAAACTCATTGGGGATTTTAAGGAATCTGTAGAAAAGGTGAGATGATTCTTAGCTTTGTAGCCAGCCCCATACACTCCAGCAACTTAAAGAAGGTATCTGACATGCAGTAGATGCTTAACAGGCAGGAATCAAGAGTTGGGTCGGACTCACAGGGGCATTTGGAACACTCGCCAAATGCACCCAACTCCCCTCCCCCAATGCACCAAAAACATCTATGGAGATGAACAATAAGAGAGGAAATCAGCAACGTTTGGTTACTGAATCATCTCCAAGCAAGGGGGTCCTGAAGTTTATTGACCTGAAAGACAAAAGGATGCCAATTTAAAATGTTGCTATTTGAAAGGGCATTAAAACTGCCTGCTGGGGCCGGGGGTGAGTGTGTGTGTGTGTGTGTGTGTGTGTGTGTGATTTCTAGAGAAACAGCCTGCAAAGACAGCAGTCAAGAAAGCATAGGAGGAAATGGAGGAGGAGGTCATCACAGGCAGAGAAAGGCAGAGAAAGAAATGGAATTTTTAAGGTATCTGCTCAATGTACAATATACTCACTTAGAAAGACTATCAAAAAATAGCAGTCAGAAAACCTGATACCTGGCTGGGAAACTCAATTCTGCTGCTCGTGTTTAAATCACTCACACGGGAGGTGATCCTCACCTTAAGCAAGCCCTTGGGCAGGTTTAAAAAGCTTTTTGGACAACTACCCTGGCCCCTCTGGGCCCTATTCCCTCTCTCTGCTCTGGGCCTCACTGTAGAGGCTAGGCCAGACTGAAAAGTGACAGGAAGGACTTAAATAAACAGAAAGCACATGTCCTAATTCTAGTTAAGCTTTTGGGCTAAATGACAAATCTGAAGACTCTTTTGGAAATCTGGCCAATCGTGTGAATGCTGATGAGAGGCCAGAGTGCACCCGGGGCAGGTAGGTTTAGTGGGTGTTTCAGAAGTTGATCTGACGTCACAGCTTGTCTGGGTGAAACATGCATACACTTGCAGAGATATGTTCCCATATAGTGTAATTGTGGGTGTTTTAATTCAGCGTCACCCCTACCTGGCCCTCTCTACATGGCTTTCCTCCTCCATTTTACTACCCTGGGCAGACGATGGGTGGGATGCTGGGCAAGTAGCTACAAGGATTGGTGCTGCTTTATAGTTCCCTGGCATCCCCTGAATCAGTTAACATCCCAAGCCTTCCTGAGAGCCAGCCCCACCCCAATGCTTTCTGAATCCTTTCCTTTCCAAGAAAGAAGCTGGCGGTTAGAGGAACTCTGGGCTGGCTGCTGTGCCTCGAAAGGGAGTTCCTTTCTTTCCTTTCCACAGGCACAAATGAGACAGACCCGCACCCGGTTTCAAACTATTCTGACCCTGAAAAAAAAAAAAAAAAATGTTACTTCACCAAACTATTGTGAATGAGCTTGATTCTAATCATTTGCTGGCAGGGAATATGGAATAAAATATCTCATTTGCAGTTGTTTATTTCCTGTTGTGGCTTCTATTTTCATCTTTTAGTCACTTTGGTGATAGTAATCAAACCCTAATCATGGCGGAGCCACAAGTCACAGACACCAAAATAACTTGCAGTGGAGTCATGACAAACAAGGATGGAGTCCGCTAAAGACCTGGCTACTTAGTGACAGGCCCCGGTGACCAGCGGCACGGGGGCTGCCACTCAACTGGCCAAGCATCTCGAGGAGACAGGAAGCCAGGGGGAAATTGCTCCAAGGCCCCAGGTGTCTGAGCGGTCAGAGCCAGGCCTGCACGAAGGAGAGCAGCACACGCACAGGAAGTGGAAGGAGATGCTGGCAGGCTCTGCCCGATGACCAGGGGAGAGCACTTGGACAGACGTCGAAAAAGAGAACCAGTCAAGTTCTCACACCTTTGAACTGCTCCAACAAAATCTTTTATTTTATTTACTTTTTAAAGATTTATTTATTTATGCATAGAAGAACTGGGGTGTAGGCCAGAGGTGTTGGGT